GGAAGGGAAGAGTGGCCCGGCCATGCTGGAGGCCAGGCCAAGGCCTTGACCCTGCGGGGGGCACCAGCCCTGGCCCTGGTCCCGCCCACTTTGCCCAACTTGCTGGCTTTTCTGAAGCCAAATTTGGCAGACTCACTGGGCGCAGAGACAGTTCTGGAATGGGCCTCCAAGCCAGCCTAGACCCCCATCCTGCTTCCATCTAAGCCTCTCCATGTGGCTAGGAGAGGCCTGAGAGATAGACCATGCTGCCCGTGTCTCACCCGCCCTCTGCGGTGGGCGGTGAGGTGGTGGGAGCCGCAGCATCCGAGGGGGGAGGCCCGATCTTAGTACTCAGCGCTTCCCTGCTTACGACAGCCCTGATGCGCGTGACCACTCTCGTTCCCATTTACCCAAAGGGGAAACTGAGCTCAGAGAGGTGACTTGCTTAAGATCACCTTGCTGGTAAATGGCAGAGTGGGATTTGAACTCATGCCTTACACCAGCCTCCTTCCACAGCAGTGTGCTTTACCGTAAAACCTGGTGACTTCATGTAATCCCGGGTCTGTCCGTACCTTTCCGTGTGGCCTCAGGGAAGCCATTTTATTTTGCTGGCCTCGGTGTATTCATCTGTAAAATGCAGTCCCATTAATATTAATGGATCTTGTGAGTATTTAACATGCATCCTCCTTGCTAGGCCATGCTCTCAGAGGATGGGGCGGAGCCTCTCCCTTTCACCTCTGTGTTCTCAGCAGTTGACACAGCACATAGCATTCACATTAATCCTCTCATTTGCTCTTCTCAACAACCCTACTCTCATAGGGGTCTGCACCACTGAGCCCATTTTACAGATGAGAAAACAGGTTCAGAGAAATGATGCGATTTGCCCAAGGTAAAGGTTAGTCAATGGTAGGGCTGAGACTCGAATCTCCGTCCTCTCAAGCAGGCATGATTTTGGACAGCACCTTGTCAAGGCAGGTCTGCGGGGAGGGGGCACTTTGAAGTCATGAATAAACTGAGCTCTGAGAAGGGCAAAGACATTATTTTTATTTGTGAAGCTCCCCATCCTTATAGCCTCAGCTGGTTGCCACCTCCAGGCCTCATTCGCCCCCCTCCCCATGCCTTCCTAACTCTGTTCTTCCTTCTGTCCTCTGCCCCTGCCCAGGACTGGATCCCGGCCACATCCGCGGTTCGGTCAACATGCCGTTCATGGACTTCCTGACCGAGGATGGCTTCGAGAAAAGCCCAGAAATGCTCCGAGCTATGTTCGAGGCCAAGAAGGTAGACCTTGCAAAGCCCCTCATTGCCACGTGCCGGAAGGGTGTCACCGCCTGCCACATTGCCCTGGCTGCCTACCTCTGTGGCAAGGCCGATGTGGCCATCTACGATGGTTCCTGGTTCGAGTGGTTCCACCGGGCCCCGCCGGAGACCCGTGTGTCCCAGTGGAAGGGCGAGAAGGCCTGAGCACTGAGCTTCTCCCCCACTCACCCACAACTCAGCCAGTTTAGTGACTGGCGTCGCCTGCGGCTGCCTCGTACCTCTTCAGCCAAGGAGACTAACAAGGGTTAGAATTGCTGGGTAAAACTCTCCTTCCCCCACCAACACTGGAATAAACGTGGCTTTCTCCGAGTCACTGTGTCTGCCCGCCTCTCCCTGGCTGCCATCCTTGCCCTGCACCCCTCACATGTCCACCTCCTGCAGATCCCTAGGACACACTAAGGGAAGAAACCTCCACAGCAACCGCCAGCTGGGGAGGCCGCTTTGTTATTTCATTTTGGCAAAGGAAGCCGCCCGTTGTCCCGCGCCAGGTCGAGCCTGCTGAGGCCCACCTGGCAAGGGTGCCAGGAAGCCAGAGAGAAAGGAAGCCACAGCTAGCCAGCCACCAACACTCGCCGTAGGTCCAGCCCTCTGGGTGTATGGTGGGGGGCAGGTAGCCTTCCAAGTGACTGTTCAAAGAGGTGTTACCCAACAGGTGCCCTGGGGCTTCAAGAGAGGTGATGCTCAGAAGCAGGCCAAAGAACAGAGGTCTCCACCTTAGGAGACCTTCTGGGCTCAGAATAAGACCCTCTGGGAGCTGCCAGGGTTGGGGTGGGGGCCCTGGAAGAGCAGCTTCGGTCCCTGGGACAAAGTCTTAGCGCGCCGGCAGTGCGAACCAGGAAGATGCTGTAGAAGAAAGTCACCTGGTGCCCTGGACCCATGTGCCTGGGTTTTGTTTTCCAGAAGTGGGCTCTTTGGATGATTCCAGGCCCCCCCCACCTCCTCAGGGTCCCCTGCTGCTCACTCTCCAATTTGGAAATAAGTTCATTGTGGGTAAAATGCTAGTAAACAGCATCATGTGCTATGGTGAGATCGTTCCTGAGAGGAAGGGTCAATTGATATAGCAAACTTCATTGTTGTCTTATATTAAGAAATTGACACAAAAAGAAAAAAGAAAAAGAACTTGCCACAGCCACCCCCACCTTCAGCGGCCAGCACCCTGATCAGTGAGTGGCCACCCACATCGTGGCGGGACCCTCTGCCAGCAAAGAGATGATGCCTTGCTAAGGGCTCAGCTAATGGTCAGCATTTTTTAGTAATAAAGTATTTTCAGTCAAGGTGTGTATATTGTTTTTTGGACATGGTGCTATTGTGCACTTAATAGATCAATAGTGTAAACAGAACTTTTACAGGCACTGGGAAACCAAAAAATTTGTGTGACTTGCTTTATGGGGATACTCACTTTGTCGTGGTGGTCTGGAGCCACACCCACACTGTCTCTGAGCTGTGCCTGTGCTGTTAGGCGCCTCTAGGCAGTCAATACAGGGGACAAGAGCAACGGAACAGGGGACAAGAGCAAACGCGGAAACCAGTGGGGAGGCAAGCGCAGGTTAACCCAGGCAGAGGTAGGAGCGGTTTGGACCCAGGGCCGAGGGAGGGTGCGGAGGTGGGTGAAGGGCCCACGAGCCTGCCGTGCTTTGAGAGGCTTGCCTAGGGGTCGCTTATGGGGTCAGCTCAGAGCTATAGGTGGCGCCCCTCTGTGCCAGGCAGTGTTCCAGGCATTTCACAGAAGTGACTTCGTTCAGTCCTCACTCGTAGCCTCGGAGGTGGATTATGTATATTTCACATCTGAAGAAAGCTCAGCAAAAGAACATGGACAAAGTTGCCCTTCTAGTAAGTTTCAGGCCCAGATTCTGGGAGCCCCGAGTTTAACCACGATGCTCTCTGCCCCCTGGGGGGATCTTGAACAGGCTGGGCATGCAGGAGGTGTTCCCCGTACCCCCACCCCTGCTGGGCAGCAGCCAAACGGGGCTGAGCTGCTGGCACCAGCTGCGAAAGCCACTCCCCCTGGTATAACCCTCTGCAGCCCTTCTGTGCAAGAGGCGAGCAGAGCCTTGCCGTCCCAGTCCTACTCTTGTTTTACTGCTAGTCCCTGCTCCCTTCACATCCGGCTCATCTTTCCCTCTCCGCCTCCGTCCCCTTGACCTACACTGGTGCTCATAGACACAGCCATGCCCTGGGATGTGGTGGGTGCTTAGGGGGTGCTCGCCCCTCAGGACTGGCTTGTCATGGCCTTTGCTCCCTAGGGCTGGCCTATCGGCCCTCTGAGGCAACAGAGCCCTGTGTATAGCGGTCACCGTGGAAACTCCAATGACCAGCAGGGGAGGGCGGTGCCCTAGCAGCCACCATTGGTCTTCAGCAGCCGTTTCGCAGATCCACACTCCTGGGCTTCAGCACACACCAGAGCGGTTCGCGTGTTTTCTGACCTTATAAAAAAGGGCGGCGAGGTCAGGCAGAAACAGGCAAGGTGGGCCAGGGGTCTAGCGTGATGCAGATTTCATCTTCCTTCTCCCCATTCAGAGCTGCTTGTGAGTGAAGTGCCCAGACAGCAACTGGACCTTTTCCTCTCTTCTTGACCAACATCTCTGGGGACCTTCTCTCCAGGTCAGACAGGGCCCATATGTTTCCCACATCTTTCCTGGATGCCCTATTAGTCCATTAAGAGAATCTGTATTTTTTTTTTTTATGTCTTTTAAGGGCCCATGTGTCACTGAGTAATACCCTGACTCTTTCATCTTTCTCATATGCGGGCTTGACTGGGACAGAATTGTTCAGGTGGCGGGATTCATGGGTTACTTATCAGCTCCCCTTGGCCTCGGGGTCTCCAATGGAAAGCCTGTTGGGCAGGGGCCTCCTCTGTCCTCGCCACTGCGGCCTCTCCATAGGGCAGCTCAAAACATGCCAGCGGCTTCCGTCAGAGCAAGCAAGCCAGCCAAGAAGAGCCAGAGCAAGTGTGAACAGCCACTAATATCATTTGGCAGTGGCAGCCTTTCACTTTTGTCATATCCTTTTGATCTGAAGCGAGTGGCTAGGTCCTGTCCACAAACCGGGGGGCATTTTGCCCAGTGTATGAATACCAGGAGGTAGGGAAGATTGGCGGTCATATCAGAAGCAACGCAATCATCAAACAATTAATTAAAATTGAGTAAGTTGTTTTGCTTGATGATTTTTCAAGATGATAAAATTAATTCAGTTCTTAAACTGCTTCAAGCTTACCAGCAAAAGAACTCGCTGGGTGACATAAGGCAAGTCATTCTCCTCCTCTGGGCCTCAGGACACATTTATTGATTTCAGAGAGAGAGGAAGGTGGGGAGAGAGAGGGAGATGTGAGAAAGAAACATTGATTCATTGCCTTCTGTACGTGCCCTGATTGAGGCTCAAACCTATAACCTAGTAATGTGTCTTGACTGGGAATCAAACTTGCAACCTTGAAGGGCTTTGAGGCACTCACCGGTGGTGGAAATGACCAGGGCTCCCCAGAAAGCACAGAGCCTGGGGGGCTGTAGGAGGCAGGCCCAGTGCCGAGGGCGAAGGGTGAGTGGGGCAAGGGGCTCCTTGAGGGCCAGAGAGCCCTGGAGGGAGAAGCACCGAGGAACCTCGCTCAGGGCCTGGGCAGCTAGTCCCAGGTCTCCCAACTTGGCTCTCAGCTCATCCCCATTCATGAAGCCTCTGTGGCATCTGAGACAATCGAGTGTGTTTCTTTGTCAACAGGACTAAGCTTGGAACAAGAGTCCATGGAGCTGGGCCGCCGAGCAGGTAGGACGGGCCGATCAGGGATGCACTGACCGGGGACACTCAATGCACACCCAGGGCTTCAGGAGGAGGCTCCCTGGGGGCAGCAGGAACGGCCCCTTTCTCTCTCCCTCTGGCTTGCTCTGGCTTCCAGGCAGGCCCTCTGAGAGATCCTGGCTTCCTTGGGGCATTCTGTTTGAACACAGAAGGAAAAGGGAGGGAAAGGAGTATCACTGAGTCCCTCCCATCTGCCAGGCCTGGGAATGGTGACCCAGTCACAGTGGTCCCCTCCTCAGGGCTGAGGGCAGACAGCAGCCCCTTGTGGGCACCATGTTGCCATAAGGCACATCTAAACCCATAGGGTGTTTTTGTAAGTGGTTATCTGAGCCAAACTGACCACATAGGCCGGGGAGGAAGATGTCAGATGCTCCAGAGGAAAACAGTTCTGCCATTTCTTTTAAGCATTTGAGATGAAGGAGAGGAGGTTGCACGAAGCTGGGAGAAAGCAAGGCGGGGATTGGATTTCAGGACAGTCGGGAGCACTGGCTCGCTGGTCTCAAAGGGCCGTCACCATTAGAAGGAGGGGTCCGCAAAGAGGCATCTCAAAAGTGTGTTAGTCTAGGTGCACAGAGACAACGGGCAGGGCTTGCTTGAGGCTAAGATAAGCCTTTAGTAAGAGGTTAGGTGCACTCTGCATGGTGACCCCCAACGACGACCTGCCCCATTAGGAATCCATGATCAGGTCCTCCTGTGACATTACTTGTTACTTTCCATAGAACTCCCTTCTTCACCCACAAGGAGGGGCAGGCTGTGGTGGGGCAGAGGGTGAGGGTGGGGATGGCAGGGAGGCCTGGTCTCCGTGGGTTGGGGGGAGAGGGGAGGTGCGGTCGGTTAGAGTGAGCCAAGCTCTGGGGCAGTGAGGCCCCAGGAGGGGAGGAGAGTGTTCTGAGCCCCAGAGCTGTCAGGGGAAGGTCTGGAGGTGAGAGAGCACTGGAGCTTTGAATGAAATTCAATACGACTTGAAGACTGGAGAGGTCAGGCGGCCCTGGGCCACGTCCCTGGGCATGGGGGAGGGTTTCAGTGCTGCTGTGGCTGGATCAGGTCGGCACTGAGGGGGTCCCCACAGGGGAGTGGACAGTGGCGGGGGCTGGCAGATGGGGTGTGGGAGACAGGCCAGTGAGGGTGGGGGGTGAGACTCCTGCTAGAAGCTTCTCCAATGACCCGAATGACCCAGGAGCCTTGCTAGACACCCAGATTCCCAGCCTCTCCATGAGGATCCTGCTGCAGTGGCTGTGGAAGAGGCCCAGGGGTCTGTGTCTTTATGAGCGTCCCGGGAGATTCTGAGGCCTGACCAAGCCCGGAAAACCCTGAGGACTCATCACTACAATAGCAAGGGGGGCAGGGCTTCCTCTGCCCACTTCACAGTTGGAAGGATGGTGGGAGGAAAGGCGGGGTTGCAGTATGTTTCCTGGAAGGCCAGAGCTGCAGACCTTCACTCATTTATCCAACCAACACTGAACTCCAAAAGGACAGGGGCCAGCCCCTTGCGCTCACTCACTGTGTGTTCCCATGTCTGGCGCAGACACGGTCCGGCCATGACAGCCCTCAACCCCAAAGGGCTGGCGGAGGGCGAGCGGGCAATTCCACAGAACATGCTGGTAGAGGGGGCCGGCAGGAGCCCAGCCCAGGAGAAGTGGGGAGCGCTGCCTTGGAGCCCTGAGCCCTGAATGCTGGGCGACCCCAGGAGTCCATCCCTGCGCAGAGGCCTCAGTCTCCCCAGGAGCAGGAGGAGGGGTCACGCTTGATGGGGTGGGGAGTGCTAGTGCTCTCCAAGCTCTCTGTCTCCACTCCTTTTTGTTTTTTTTTAAAAGGTTTTATTTATTTATTTTTAGAAGGAGGGGAAAGGAGAGAGAAAGAGGGAAAGAAGCACTGATTGGTTGCCTCTCGCACACCCCCAACTGGGGACCTGGCCTGCAACCCGGGCATGTGTCCTGACTGGGAATTGAACCGTGACCTATCGGTCCGCAGGCTGGCACTCAATCCACTGAGCCACACAAACCAGGGCTCCAGTCCTTTTGAGAAGGGTAACTGTCCCCGTTTTGGAGGCCTTAGCTTTCCCCAGAGGCGCCCCGTTGCCGAGCTGCCTGCTTGTTGGGGCAGAGCCCAGGACAAAGGGAGGGAAGCCTGTCTGGTCTCATCCTAACATGTGGAGTGCAGTGTCGCTCTGGGTCTGATGTCCTTGCAGCGACCTGCTCATTCCCTCACTCACAATGGGCGTTTCCCTCACCTGTGTCTCGGAGGCACAGGGGTCTTCGGCCGGTGCCGTGGGAGGCCCAGGACTGACGCCCGTGGACCCCACCTTAATGGCCCTGCCCCCGATCTGGGCAGGGAACAAGACGGCTTGTAGCTCCCAGTGGTGGAGAAAGGGAAACCCCAGGGTTAGAAGAGGTTCGTGGAGCAGGGTGGGCACAGAGCTGTGAGGTGGAGAGGAGGGGGCTGGCCCCAAAGCTGGGGGTGGGTGTCAAGGAGGACTTCCTGGTGGGGCTGCCTTGAAAGGAATGGTTGCATTTTGATTTAGGGAAAAGGAGGTGGCAGCCTTCTAGGTGGCAGAACCAGCCTGCGCAAACGCTGGGAGGTGGGACATCCCAGGTCATGGTGGGGATGGGGGACGAGGGTGGAGAGGAGACTTCCCAGGCTGGGCGCAGGGGGCCCCTGGGCCTGGGAGTCAGGGGCAGGAGTGGGGGGGGGGTGCGGTGTGAGGCTGGGATGACCCTGCCCAACGAGCCCAGAGAACAGAGGAGGGAAGGGGGGCTTGGGGCGCAGCTCAGTGTGGAGAGCAAAGGTGGGCCCAGGTCCTGCTCTGGTCCTTCCCAGCTGTGTGACTTGGCCACACCAAGTAAGGCCCTGGGCCAGCTTCCTTATTGTCAAAACCCATGTGGGATGGCCCTGTTCTGTGGCAGGCTTGGCAGCTGAACTACCTTCTTTCTTTGTCTCTCTCCAAATTTCTCACCCATGCTTCTGGCTCTCTTGACTTCTCTCTGTTCCCGTCCCTGTTTCTGCTTCTGGATCTCTGGGGCTCTGTGTCTGTCAGTCTGTCTGTCTCCCCTCCTTACCCCTTCTGCTGCTTCCTTCCTGCCTTCTGCTCTCGACGTTTGTCTGTCTGTCTCCTTCTCACCCTCTCTCTCTCTGCCCCCTGTTCAGGTACAACCATTTTGACCAGGGCCCATCTGAGCAACAAGGAAGGCCAGCAGGACACGGACCCCAGGAGAACTGCCCACAGCCCCTTGGAAACCTCCAAGTTCAAGCACCAGGCCCCAGCCTCCCCACAACCATCCCCGCAGCAGGGAGGCAGCCCCCTGGGGCAGGCCTACCAGGAGGGGGGCTGGCCTCCGGCCCCCGCGGCTGTCAGCAAAAGCCACTCTGGGATGGACTCGCGGCCTGGGTCGTTGAAGAAGGGGGACTACAGACCCTCCCCGAGGGAAAGCAGGGCCGCTTCCCCAGAGGGCGCTCTGCCGCGCGAGGAGCTGAAGCAAAGCCCCAACTCGGGGACCCAGGGCCAGAGGAGCAGCGTCATTCCTGACAACATTCGCCACAAGTTTGGGAGCGACATGGTGGACCAGTTGGTCTCCGAGGAGCAGGTGTCAGCACAGGGCGCAGGAGGCTGAGGGCGGCAGGAGGGTGACGCATGGGAAGTTGTCGTGAGGAGCCCTGAGGACCCTGCTCTAGAGATCAGAGCCCTTGGAATCGCGTCCCCACACCGTAGTGTTTACTGAGCACTTGCTATGCGCCAGGCTCTCTGTGCTGTTGAGACTCTTCACATATAACAGCTCATTTCATCTGCCCAATGAGAAAGGCACAATCGTATTCATCGGAAGGATAAGGAACCCAGGGCTCAGGGAGGGTTAATTCAATTTACCCAGGTGTGTAGAATGAGTACCCAAACTGCACCAGCTGGTTATGGAGCCCTAACTCTTAATGACTTTACAGTTATAAGTCCTTTTAACTCACACAGATCTAAAGGAGACAGCATCAAATAGAGGGGCATCATTGGTTAGGAATCAGAAGACTTGAGTTTGAATCCTGGCTCTGCCCCAAGTGCTGGGTAACTTGGAATAAGTTACGTGCCCTCTCTGGGCTTTCAGTCTCTACATCTGTGAAGTGAGACATTCGGATTCGATCCTGCTGGCAAATACACAGCACACATCCCACAACTCTTCCAGTCTGCACCCGTGGCAGACCTCACTAATCGAGGCTGACTCCTTCCCCCACCTCATACACTGTGTTAGGGAGTTATTCCTGATCAACTGAGAGTTGAGATAAAATTCATCTGCCATTTCTGGCCAAACGTCAAGGGTTCTTCCTGCTCTGGCATTCTGAGACACATTTTCAAAGCCACCTTCTTGACGCTCATAGCCATTACATTGTGCTGTAGGCTGGGCAGGCGTCATTACATCCTTTTTTGGGGGGCGTCTCCAAGGGGGTCTGCCATTCTGGAAGTACTGCGATACCAGGTCAACATGGGATGTGGACAAAGCAAGCTCTTATTCCACCTCCCTGCTCCAAAAATCCAATTAATATGTTGTCCTCGGATAGAGGACATATTGGATTGTTAAACTGATAAGAATAGGTATCTACCCTTGATCTTAACAAAAGGCCGGGAAGTGATGTATTTTTTTCTTTAAAAAACAGATGTTAAAACTAATGCTCAAAGAGGTGATATGATCTGTTCAGGGTCATACTGAGCAAGTGGAAGATCCAGAATCAAAAAGCTGTGGGCCGGGTCCCCTTACATTTGTCATCTTAAGGTGGGGGAGGTCACAATCCCAAATGTCCTGTCCTACTTGAAACATCTTGTCCCCCTTTGAAGTATGGTCACTGTCTCTCATTGCCTCTTTTGGCCTTCGGAAGCTAACCTTTCTCTCTTCTAAGAGGCCCAGAGAGGGGCAGAGACTTGCCCAAAGTCAGCAGCTGTTAAGTGGCAGAACCAGGACTCAAACCCAGGTATCCTGGCCGCTAGGCCTGGCCTCAACCACCTGGGCCTCCATTTCCACATGCGCACACGGAAGGAGCTGGCCTCTGTGCGATCCGAGGAGCCACCTAGAGCTGACTGACATGCTGCCTCCAGGAGGCAGGCCAAGCTCTGCGGGTCCCCATGTGTGTGGACGCTGTGTCCCTGCCGAGCCCCGGCTTCGCTCTTGTGTAAAATGGTGAGAAATATCACCTTATAAAGATCTCTCCTGGACGAGGTGCCTAGAAGGGGCTCAGTGCAGGAAGAGGTTTACAATCACCATCTTCTCTGACGTCCTGGCCCAGGCAGGAGGTGGGGAGGGATGAGAGGGTGGAGGGGCCTTCTGCGGCTCTAGCTGCCCGGCCCTGGGGGTTGGTTGAAGGCTGCAGGCATGGTTGGTCGGGTAGGGGCGGTGAGGGCAGGGTCAGGGGAGTTCAAGGGGAGAGAGAGGGCTTGACCCTTCTTCTCTATCCTTTGTCTCTTCTCCGCCCCTCCCTGTTTAGGCTCGAAGGGCCGTTGACGAAGTCTTTGAGGGCCAGAGGAGGGAAAGCTCATGGCCCAGCAAGACGCGGAGTTCTGTGAAAGTCGCCTCCATCTACTCAGACTACTATGATCTGGGCTATAACATGCGGTCAAACTTGTTTCAAGGTCAGGTCAAAGGGCGCGGGCGCAGGCTGTGAACACCCATGGTCCCCAAGGGGCAGGGAGGCCTGTGGGGTGCCTACCCCTTCCTGGGTCTCTGTGGATCAGAGCCTAGGACCCATCCCCAGGGACCCTCATTTCATGGCCACCAAGGGCCTGCTCTTTGCCAGGCCATGTGCCGAGTGCTATAAATGTCCAGTCCCCTGGCAAGTCTGTCTGCGCCGTACAGATCACCTGTCCCAGTTGGCTGTCATCTCCTATCTCCCCGAAACACCTCTGGTGTCCTGATGGCCAAGACCCAGGCACCCTTGGCTTGATCACCTTTGGTCACAGTTACATCATGTTTCTGGTTCAAACCTCAGCTCAACCTCTCACTGGGGGTGGCCTCATACGGGATCCTTAACCTCTCTGAGCCCCCGTCACCTTCTTGGTACAATGAGGACAACATGATAGCATGGCTCGCTCTGGGTCATCAGCAAGACTCCAAAGGCGTTTGGACTGTGACATGCAGCGAGTGCTCAGTAGCTGGCAGGCTGGGATTTTTCCTTCCCAGAGCCTGGTCGTGGCACTACCTGGGGACAAGGGTGGGTTGGAAACATTGACAGTGTCCTGCGGGTCAGCCAAGAAAACCCCTGGGTGGGGCGGGGAGGGGTGTTGGTACAGGGGATGTACTGTTAGCTCCATGTCACAGACACGTTAGAAATAGTTTGCTCAGGGCCTCTCAGTAGTAGGAGGTGGATCTGAAAGTTCAGGTTTTCCTTTTGCCTCTGAACCCCAGAGTCTTTCCTTGTTTCCAAGTGGTTAATGAATTGCTCAGATGGGAGTCCATGGCCAGCACTCAGGCGCTTCTCTCTGCTCCCATGGTCCAGTTCAACCTCATTACAAAATCTCCAGCTTTTCTGTTCCTCTTCCTTCTCCCTGCCGTGCTCCAGGCCCTCCCCAAGTGTCCCCGGGGGCCTGGCAGACCTCCTGCCCTGGCTCTGATCCCTGTTACCTAGGGAACCAGACAGCCCCTGGAACTTTCTGGGTTTTTCTTTGAGCTTAGGGTGGTGCTGGGGGAGAGAACAGAGAATACAGATCAGATTGTCCTATGTTCTGGGCCTCCAGGACCAGCCTTCCACTGTCTCTTTAACAGCTATCACCCAGCCGCTCTTACATACAACCTCACATAGTAATGTCTCCATAAACGTAAAAGAATCATACAGAAAAATCTGTGTACCCATCACCCATTCTGAGAAACACAACTGTGTGTCCTATCAGCTTGCACCAGCTCACAAGGGTCAGTCGTTAAGTTCCCCTGGACTGATGGATTGGCATCGCAGTGCTATCTTATACACGGGCCAGGCCACGGTAGGAGATGCCCCAGAAATTAGCAAGTGCTGTGAGTTGGGACTCCGTCGTTAGCACACCGCTGTCGGCGGGCCTCCCTGGGCACCCCTCCGTTTCCACCGCCCAGGTCAGCCTCTGCACTTGCGGTTGCAGGTGGGTGAGGCTCCAGCGGCTGGACAGGACCGAGAAGGGCTGGGTAGGAAACGGGCTGGGTGGGGAGGCCACGGAAGGTCTTTTATCTTCATGAGAAGGGAAGCCAAGAGGGTCTGTACGCAGGACAACGGTGTTGTCAGACATAGGTTAAAGGATCGCTCCAGCTGCTGCGTCAGGAATAGATGTGGGAAACTGGGACGGGGATGGGATGGCAGCAAACATCCAGGTGGGACAGATGGTCATGGTAGCTTGGCCTGGGGAGCAGGGCTGGTGCGCTGCCTGGCCCTGGAGGGCACCGCTGTGCCTTAGGGGGCCCCGGGGGGTCATGGTGAAGGTGGTCTGAAGTAGAAGGATTCGGGGCATTTGTGCAGGTAGAGCGGACACAGTAGGCTACTGAATGCATTCGGGGTGTGTGAGAGAGGACTCAAGGTTGACGTCAGTCAGGCTTTTAACTTAACTGTCCGGAAGGAGGAAGCCCTTTGTGCTGGGATGGAGAAGGTCCCAGGAGGGGCCGGTTGAGGAAATCCTGCACCCTGCTGAGTCATGAAGACAGTCTTTTCAATAGTCTTCTAAAAATAATTCAGTTTTGCTGTCCACATTTAAGCCTTTAAGCCACCTGGAGTTGATTTCTGCTTTTAATGCGAAGCAGGAAGTCGTTTTTAATTCCTCCTTTATGTGGATTACCAGTTGCTGCCTCAGACTGCTTATGGAATGGTCTCATCTTTCCCTGCAGAGACCTGCCGGGGTGCAGCTGACATCCCTCAGGCTTCCCACGAGCTGCGATCGGTTTCCAGGCTCTCCATTCTGCCCCTTGGTCTAATGTTACACTTTTAATTACCAAGGTGTTAGAAGAAGTCTGATACTCAGTTGGGTAAATCCCCCCTCTCGCCCCCCTCGACCAGCTAATGCCTGGGCTAGTCTAGGTCTTTTACTCTTCCATACAAATTCTAGAATCAACTTGCCAGTTTCCATGAAAAGCTCCATTGAGATTTTGATTGCAAGTACATTGACTCTGCAGCTCAATTTAGGGGCAGTTGTCAGTTTTAGGATAATGAATTTTCCAATCCATGAGTATATTCAGCTCCATTATTTTTAGTTTTCCTTCAATATCTGTCAATAACATTTTCTAATTTTTTCTATAAAGATTATGTAGTTTCTTGTTAAGTTTATTTAGAAAAACCTCTTGCTGTTTATTGCAAATGGTTATCTTTTTTAAAGTTACATTTTCTAACTTTCCTGCTTACATACACAGGGCAATTTTAATTTTTGTACATTAATCTTATATACAGAAGCCTTACTCAGCTCACCTATTAATTCCAATAATTTGTTTGCAGATTCTTTGGGGCTTCTTTTTTAATAATAAGAATGGCTACATTTATGCATAGCATGTAGCATGTGCCAAACACTACTGTACTTTAAACACGTTTTAATTCTCATGAGAACCTTATGCAGTAAGTGCTATAATCCCCGTTTTTTAAAGATAGACAAAAATGAGGTATGGAAGATGAAACAACTGCCATAAGGCCACGTAGCTAGTATTGGTCAGGGCTGGGATTTGAACTTGGCAGCTTGGGACGGGGGTTTACATGTTAATTAACCACTAGGCTCTTCCTGCCTTTAGGCCGTTGGGCCTGGCGACCTTGTCCAGGACCGTGGTGCACATGAGTGGGGGGACCAGGCATCCTTAGCTCATTCTTGACTCCAACGCTTTACCGTTCAATATAATATTTTGAAATTTTAATCAAATTAAGGAGGGGTCCCCTTTATTTCTAGTTTGCACATTAATTAAAAAAATTTTTGAATAGGTGTTGGGTTGTAGTAACTATTTATACAACCATTATTTAGATGATCATGTGCTAGTTGTTCCTTTAATCTGTTGATGGATAAATTCTATTAATGGGTTTCCAAATGTTAAACCAAACTTGTATTCCTGCATTTAAACCAGTAACGGCACATTAACTTTTTTTACCTGTGAAAACTGCCACCCGCGTAGAAGAGCACAGAAAGCCATCGTGTGCGGCTTGAAGAGCAGCGCGTGGCCGCCTCGCAGGCGGGGCTTCATGGGAGCCGGAGGCCATCCTCTCTTCCCCAGCTGTATCACCTGACTTTTGTCAACAGTCCCTGTGCTTTTCTTTGTAGCGTGAGCCCCTCCACGTGAGCCCCTAAGTGGCGTTAAGCAGACTGATCTGGGTAGAGCTCTCAGAGCAGGGGACGTCTGGGTGGAGACCTGCAGGAGGGGGCAGGCCAGGCTGTGGGGTGCTGTGGCAGGTGCACCCGGGCAGAGGGACCGTGCTGAGGACGTTGGCTTGCCCTGGGCTTTTCACTGGGAGTCATTGTAGCCTGCGCAGCACCTGGCTTGGATGTCTGATCTCTATCATGCCTGGGGCTTCAGTCCACATGCCTAACTTAACGCTCTGTTATGTAAGCATGTAAAACCACCCTGCCAAACACAATAAACATTGCTTTAAAAAAAGTTGATTTTTGGCTCGATGGCATTGTCTTAGACAACATGGCCTGTAATGATTTCAGTTGTTTGAAACTTGCTTGATAGGCTTAGAGTTGGTCCATTTGGTAGAGGATCAAGGGGTTTGAAAGTAATCTCTTGGGTTCAGGATTCTGTTTGTCTAATTGAGCAGGCTTGCTAATTATTTCTCTACAAATCTTCTAATTCCTTGTTAATATTCTTTGCTTGATCTATTAATTACTAAATGACGTACCTCTCTGTCTTTCCCGCTGATAGCAGATTTGTCAATTTTTCCTTGCCGCTCTTTCTGTCAATTTTGCTTTACCTGTTTTGAGATTACCCTGATGTAGCAAATTTAGAATGATTACATCACCTGAATGAATGGCAGTCATTTTTATTTTTCACAGTGCCTTTGCCTTATAGTCTATTTTGTCTGATAATTTAATACAGCAAGACCAGATTGCTTTTGGTTAGAATTTGCTTGCTCTATCTTTTCCTATATTCTGTGTTTATCTTTTCTCTGTGTCCTTTTATTCTAAGTATGCTTTAAGTAATATAGAACTGGAACACTTTTCTGTAGCCTGATCATCTGTTTTTTTAAAATCAATGGATTAGTCTACGTATATTTGTTCCAGTTACTAACGTATTTGGATTCATTCCTATGACCTTAGTTTGTATTTTCTGTTTCTGCTTCCCTTTCTCTGCTGTTTCTTCCCCCTCTTTCTTATTTTGGATTCAAGTGAGCTTTCTTTTTTTTTCCCCCAATGTAATTTTGTCCTTATTCTCCTAATTCTTTTAATGGTTACCTTTGACATTTTTACATTCATACTCTACATTCTGAAGTCAATCAAGGTCTTTAGGTTTTCTTGACTCATATAAAATGTTAGGAGGCTTCAACTTTATGCTCTGTACTCCCATCTCAGGTTACATGTTATCCTTTTACAGAATTTTAACTTTACATAAATGAAATAGTCTAAAGCATGGATTTTGGAGCCACGAGGTCTGCATTTGAGCTCTAGATCTTGCACTTTCCAGCTGTGTGACTGTAGACAAGTGACTTTCTGTGCTTCAATGTCTTCAACAGTAAGATGGGGGTAATAATCATACCTCCTTCTTGGGGCTGTTGAGAAGGTTCTATGAGTAAGGTCTGCAAAACTCTGGGAATATGTACTTAGCACATGGTTCGCGATCTTTGCCGTCATCATTTTACTCCATAAACTTGACATTACTACCGTTATTATAACTGGTGTATATTTAGATTTATTCAAGGTTTCCATTTTCTTTGTCTATCATTTCTTCTTCTATCTCAGATCTTCCTTCAGGGATTATTTTTATTTTTATTTTTTAAATATGGTGTTTCGATTATTTCGGTTAAATTCTGTTGTTGGTAAATTTTAGAGCTATAAAAACTCTTTGTTTTATCCTCATTCTTAGTAGACAGTTGTAATAATGATTTTATTTACTTTTAAGAGAAAGGGGAAGGGAGGGAGAGAAACATCAAGCACACGACCCCAGCTGGGGACCTGGCCTGCAACCCAGGCATGTGCCCTGACTGGGAATCAAACCGGTGACCTTTTGGTTCGCAGATGGGTACTCAATCCACTGAGCCATACCAGCCAGGGTTATAAAAAGTTCTATATGGGCAATTGTTTTCTGTCAGCACTTTGATAATGTTAATTCATTTCCTTCTGGCTTTGATGGTTATCAAATTTATTGTTATTCTTTGTAAGTAATCTGCCTTTTCTTTGTGGCTACATTTAAGATTTCTTTGTCTCTGGTGTTTTAAATTATAGTTAGCTATATCTAGTAAGGAATTATTTTCATTTATGTTGGTTGGAAAATTACAATATGATTTTTAAATCTAAGGATTCATATATTTCATCAATTTTGGAAAAATCCCAGCCATTATTCAAATATTGCTTCTCCCCACTTCCCCCAGTTGCTCCTTCAGACCTCCAATTAGACATATATTAGGCCTTCTCATTTAACCTTCATTTAATGGCTTTTTCATATTTTCCACATCTTTTTCTCCCTATGAATTCTAGTTAATTTCTTTAGCTCCATGTTTCAGTTTACCATTTTTCTCAGCTATTTTACCTGCCCATTGAATTTGTTTTCAAACATGATATTAATTTTAAACTTAGAGAAAAGTAGAGAGAATAAGTTTAATGAACAGAGGTTTTACTCTTCACCCAGCTTCAATAATTATTAGTGCATGGCCAATCTTGATTCATCTTTTTTCCTACTCACTCATCCACCCTACCCCAGATTATTTCAAAGAAACCTCAGACGTCTTATAATTCATTGACTTTTCAATTATTGTATGTTGCATTTATGAAATTCCTTTTGCTTCCTTGGCTAATCTGCTCTTTCTGGGGACTTCCTTATTCTTTGTTTATACATTTATTCTCTTTCATGACTCCAAACATTAAATATACGTATTTTATACTCTGTAACTGATTATTCAAATCTTACTGTCTTGTGGGATTTGGCCCTGTTTGATGTTTCTGCTGACTCTTTATCACAGTAACTTATTTCCTCAGGCATATTTTAACTTTAGACATAGAAATAAATTTTGTGAAAAGACTTGTATTAATGGCCACATGCCATGTGCTCCGAAGAGTTTCTGATAATGTTGTTCCCCATGCAACATCATTTTCTTCCTCTAAATAGATAAAGAGACAAAAGCTCTGAGAGGTTAAAAACTTGTCTGAGGCCACACTATCCATAAATGATGGAGCTGGGCCTGCCATCCTCTGCCTTACCCTCCCCTCTCCCCGCCCTCCCACAATCCACACTCCACAGGGGAAACTAACACTCAAGTAGGAACCATAGAGCAGCTGACCTCTGTTGACTTGGAGCTTCTGGGGATTAATTCATGGGGTTCCACAGGGGCCCCGGAGGAGATGAAGAGCCTCATGAAGGCCTCCTATACCCCAGAGGTGATTGAGAAATCAGTGTGGGACACAGAGCACTGGCACGGCAGAAAGACGGATGATCTGGGTATGCAGCAGGCGGGGGCGGGGGAGTGGGGCACTCCCATCCCTGGCTGGGGTGTGTTGGCTCCAAGGTCCAAAGGGAAACCAGGGCAGCAGAGAGAGCCCTGAGTGTGAGTCACCATGGGTCCTGGGCGCTCCCGAGGTTCTCAGGGTGACCTGTTCTGGTTTCTGCCCTGCTCTCTTCTCTGCAGGACGGTGGCACCAGAAAAATGCTATGAACATGAACTTGCAGAAAGCACTGGATGAGAAATATGGAGAAAAGAGCAAAAGCAAGACCTCGAAGTACTAAATATGACCTAGAAGTGGTGCCCTGGATTCAGAGAAAGCGCTACAATAAAGTCAACAATAAAGGAAGGCACAATCTAAATCCTTCTCCCCCATGCTTGGTGCTTCTCTTCATGTTGGAGTGGGGGCCGATGCGCAATGCTGGAGAGACCAACCGAGGGAGGACAGAGGCCCTGAGGGACCCAGCTGTTCCCCTAGACACCCCCCCAACTACCTTCCCCCATAATTCCAGGAAAAGATGTGAGAGCTGAGCAGGGCTCTGTCTCAACACCAATGTGCGGGGCCTCTCCCTCGTGCCCGGGGTGTGGGGGTCCTGTGGCGGACACTGCTGGATCTTCCCTTGGGTGCCCTCCCTAGCAGAACCCCAATTATTTCCAGACACCCATTTCTTCTCTGTGAGCCCAGGGACTTCAGAGTAATGGGCCACCTCCCCTTCGAATCCAGGGGTAGTTTTGATTGATCTCCCCGTGATTTTGACCCCTCCCCCTACACGAATGTGTGGTTCGGAAATGGGCACATGACCCAATTAGGCCAGTGAGGTGTGTGTGTGTGTGTGTGTGTGGCCTCTGGGATAGTCTTGTCTTTACTAGGAGAGCCAGGAGCATCTCTCTCTCCTATTGTCCTGGATGAGGAAGTGCACATCCCAGACTGCTCCTGGCAGACAGTCTGGTCTCTGCGCAATCTGGGTCCTCCAGGGACCTCACTGAGGTGCTGCTCCCTTCCCCTGGCCAGGAGCTACTCACCTCTAGACTTCTTATAATGTGAGCACGCACATCTGTTTAGAGAGCTAACCTTACCCTTTACTGATAAGCGTCCCTGGTAACAACTGGGTAGGGTCATGGGATGTGGGGCCCCAGGGGAGAGGACCCCAGGGGAGAGGACCCCAGAGAAGGGGTTTCAGGTTGCATAGTCAGCCCCGAGCCGGCAGCGCACCTTACCCTCAGGTCACTGACTTGCTCCCCCAGCACATGTCCTACTCCTGGGTTATTTGCTGTGTTTCAACCCCCCCCCCGGCCCCCCACGAAGCCCAATGGCTTAAAAGAACAGCAACCGTTCATTTGCTTGTGGTTGCAGCTTGGGCAGGGACCCGCTGGTATGGTTAATTTCTGCTCCGTGTGGCATCTGCGGTGAAGGTGGCTGCTCCTCTCACACACCAGGCGCCTCTGCTGGGATGAGTTCTACAGCGGGGGCTGGCGGGGCTGCACCCCCGTGGCTAGCTTGGGCTTCTCCCTGGTGTGGTGACTGGGTTCCAAGAAGGAGCCTTCCAAGGGGACAAGAGTCCATATGCAAGAGGTGATAAGTTCTCATAGTGGGAGGAGGCCGCCCTGGAGTTTTCCTATGGGCAAGATTGGTTCATTGGGGACGATTGCATAAGTCTACCATGGTGATCATCATGCTTTGGAAAAATCAAACAAGATCACTGCTAGGAGAAGGGGGCTGCCCTTCTTCCCACAAATAGGATGAGTTCTTAAAGGGAGGACCGGAGCAGGATGTAGTACAGAGAGGTGAATTTACCTTGAGTAATACTTATTGAATACCTACTTACGTGCACGGTGCTGAGGTCAGCTCAACTTCCGCATTGAGTACCCAATTTCTGCAAGACACTGCTCTCATTCTGGAAAAGCCAGGCTTTATTGAGTAGCTACTACTGGCTCAGCACATAGAACAACGGAAAAAGTGAGCCACCCAGAGTATTGTACCCAAAGCAAACCCCATGATGTTTGGATGTAGAAATTATAATACGCTAGATGGGAATGATAATGTGCCAAATGCTTTACACACACCACCTCTTCTCACCTTTATACCAGTCCTCAAAGCTATTAACCATCCTCCTTATGAAGATGAGAAAATGGACGCGTGGAGAGGCCTTGTAAATTGCCTAAGGTATACCGATAGGAAGCTGGGATTGAAAATCCAGGAATTTCTGAGCAAAGCCACTGTCTATGCTACCAGGCAATCACACAGTCATGCCAGTAAATCCATACTGAGCACCACAAACACTTGACCCTGTTAGACACAGTGGGGGACAGTGATGTGAATCTATTGCGGTCCTTGTTGTCAAGGACTTTACAGTCTGCAGAAGACTGATATGGAAGAAGCTGGCTTTGAGGCTCAGCCGCCCGTCTGACAAACACGCGCTGTGTGTCTTCCCTCTCTGCTCAGCCTTGGCCAGCGAACTGGCAGCTCAGAGAGGAGTAAGACACGGCGCCTGTCCTCTGTGTGTGCAGAGTCCGGTGGGGGAAACAGCATCAGTACACAGATGCTTGGAAGTCTTACACTTCAGCAAGAGGTTCACATGGGGCCAACAAAAGCACGAAAGACAACCTGGGATGGGATGGAATGGCAGCTGGCAGTCACAGAAGGCCTCCTAGAGGAGGTGGTGTTTGCGGTGAGAATGGGGCATGAGTCAGCACATTCATGTGGACTGGGGGAGGCATAGCATTCCAGACAGAGGGCACAGTGTGAACAAAACCCCAGCATAGCCTAGTTGGGGAGCTGCGGGGGCGGGAGGTCAGGTGGAGAAAGTAGAAAGACAATCTATGCTCCGGTGGGGCTGTGAGCGCCCCCTGAGGGCTTTAGATGTGAGACCCACCCCCTCCCCCAGGAGCTTACAGCCTGCCGGGAACAGAAAGGGTTAATAATGACTGAAGAAACCACACCAAAGACTTGAAGGGGTGCTCAATATCCTCAATAATCAGAGAGATGCAAATTAAAACAATAAATTCACCTCGTTGAAGTGTAGGTGAGAAGGATGGAAATGGGAACTCTCATACCCTCAATGAATTATGAGCACAGAACGGCAAGGAAGAGTTTAGCAAAATTGAAATGATATCTTATAATTTGAAATTCTATTTCCATGTAGCTTAGAGAAACTCAAACACGCACACCAGGAGCCCTGCGCAAAGAGATTCATTGCAGCATTGTTTGTAATTTCAGAACAACGCACATGTCTGTGATCAAGGGAATGGACAAATGGGGCAATGCAGAGCTGTGGAAAGGAATGAGCCACAGCTACCCACACCACACAGAAAGGTCTCACAATATATCAGAGCAGGCGAAGACAACGATCTGCAGAATGAGCCCCATGGTAGGAAAGGTACCATTTGCACAACCTTCTAAAGGCACACACTGCCACTCCATTGCTCACAGATACAGTTATAAGAGTATGGAAGGTTGGTTGGAAGGATGCTGCAGAAATTCAATTTCACATTATAGTGAGCTTAGCCCTTTGCAGACATAACTTTGCTTCCTCTAACTGTGAGAAAGAGCGCCACCAAAATGCCCTCTGGGAGAACGTCAGCGGCGGAAAGAGCGGCTGAGTTACAGAACACTGAGGAGTTGTGCAATTTCAATTTTGTAAACAAATGATATAGGTTTCACCACTTGGCCTCAGTTAAAGATTTCATCTCAGAACATTAAGAGGAACCCCTTTAAATTAAATATTGAATACTTGGGGGAGAGAGAAGTTGTAATCCTGGCAAAATAAAACATGCATAGGTTTTTAAAACTTTATCTCACTGATGCTGTTTCCAACAGTGTTCCTTGTTCTTCCTGCTCCTGAGGTCCCTAGATAGTGGAATTCCTAGTGACTCAAGTTTCAGGGAGGTACAGGGACCAGATCTTAAGCAGCAGGAATTCTCATAGTGGAAGTCATTCACCCTTCAGTACATGCAGGACCTCCTTTTCTCATAGTGATTCAGAACCAGCTTCATACTTTCTGCTCTGAGCACCAAGGGAGGGGGTGGTAATCCCTCAGGTGACCAGCACCACGTGGTTGTATTCCTAGCCCAACTCGCCCCCTGGTGGCAGTGTCTCTAAATTGCAGGCTAAGTACTTGTGCCATGCTAAGGAGGGAACTTAATTACATCTTTCTAACCATGCCTTTCCTGCTGCCATCATATCTCCATTTTACAGATGAGGAAACAGAGGCCCAGTTAGATTTATGCCTAACCTGGAAGTAAACAGTCCATGTTGACCAGCGCTGCAAATCCAAACCGTCAGGAATAGCGCAGGGTGGCCAGCCCAGTCTTTTCCCGTTCTCCCTCCAGGAATCATGGTTTCTGTGGAGCAAGCAGGGGCTACAGCAAATACAGAGGAAAACCCAAACGCAGGTTTGTGGTCAAGAGGCAAGAGCAGACTCTGCAGCCCTAGCGGACTCCCTAGCGGGGCTCAGCTCCTCGGGAAGGCCATCGCACCGGTAAAAGCCTGCTTCCCATTTACGGCAGGGGCGGTAGCTCCTTTCTCAGAGGTCAGTGTCAGGATTACCTGAGGAAATGCACATCCGGGGCGGGCACAGTGCGTAGCCCCTCACAGGTGTGTAGTCAGTGCTTATTCTTTTCCTTCCTTCAGGTCCCGGTTTCCCAACTACCTGTTTCCAGGAACACTGGGATGTGTGAATAGGTGCTGGGAAGATAAGGGCGTCCAAACCTGAAAAGAGTGTTTATAAGATTTTATTTGAGCCAAACTGAGGACAATTGCCGGGAAGCAAGATCTCAGATGCTCCGGAAAAAGACAGTTTTGCAGTTTCTTTTACACATTTAGAATTAATGAAGGAACGTTAGGAAGATTACATGAAGGTGGGAGAGAGCAAGGTACAGGCTGGTCAACGAGATCGTGCGTTCCCTGCAGGGCGCCAGCACCTTCCTCTGAGGGCTCCGGGGAAGAGGATCCCTCTGCATTCCAAGCGTGTGTGCACCTGGATGCACAGGAACAAGGCGCAGGCCTTGCTTAGGGCAAAAAAGAAAACTTTTTACTAAAGAAGTTATATGCCTGGGGCGTAACTCCCTGCCTTGACCTGCCCAGTTGGGAATCTGTGACCCGCCCCTCACTGGACTTAACCAGTTTTATTACAGAACCTCTTCTTGTCCCATTGTCAAATGAATTTAGGTTATGCTGTTTATATAACAATAAATGGGTTGATTTCGTGCAAGACTTCTTAGAACCTGAAACACGCCCAAGTTCTTTGTGCCAGTCCCCATCACCGCATATACCGTTCTCTGTCCGCCATTGTGGTGGGCACAGACAGAGCAAGCCACTAATAGCAGCTTGACAATAATCATGATT